TCGCACCCCCCCACCACCACCACCCACGCCCCACCACCACACACCCACCCCCTTCCACCTATCCCTACCAACCCCCACCCCAAAACCACCACGCACCCTCCCTTGCCAATTCCCTCCCATCCCCAGCCCTCCCCTAGCAACCATCGGCCCCGTTCACACGCACACAAAATCAACAACGCGTACCCCACGAAATTACCCCTTACCGCCCCTCCTCGTAATTCCCCAACACACCGCACAGCCCAACCCTCACAAAGCCGCGAAAAACCTCGCCCTCCATGCGGCACCGCCCAACCGCCGGCCCCCCGCACCGAAACAACCGAGCCCATTAAGACGCGCGAGCCACATGCAGCAAGCACGGCGCGCTTTCGACACGACTAATCACCCCCGTCACCCGGGACACCCATTGCTGCGCCACCCACCGAGTGGCCCGCCTCCAAATGCAGCACCGCCTCCTTCTGAAAGACGTCCAGCTCAAAGGGGTACTCTATGGCAAAGCCGCGCCCCTTCAGCGCCCGCCACGCCCCCGGGACGTCGTCGATGCCGCCACGCACCGCAAACTCGAGGTCGCCGCGGCGGCGCTTGGGGGCGGCCGCGGCGGCGGTGGCGGCGGCCGTGGTGCTGGAGGGGGTCTGGCAAGGGGTTGGGGGGAGAGGCGGGCGGGTGTGCGAGAGAGGGTGCGTTTCGGGAACGGCGGCTCGAAAAGGGGGGTCGCTTGGGGCGGTGAGGAATGAGCCGGCAGGACGTGGCGGCACTGCAATGCTGACGCACCGCAGGCGAACTGTTTGCGACTAGGCGAGCGGGGTCCAACCACCAACAGACAACCCACCACGCGCCCAGCCACGGCCGCGCCCAGCAGCGTGTCCAAGTGGTCAGCCTCCGCAGCCCCATCCGCCGCCGCGGCCGCCGCCGCCCCGCCGCCAGCACCATCGCCTGCGGCCGCCTGCTCGAGCGCCGACGGCGCCGCGCCCGCCGCCGCCGATTCGGCCACGACATCTGCATCGGCCAAGTCCTTGGATGCTGCTGCTGCACTCAGATCATCCTCATCTCCCTCCGCCTCCTCCTCCTCCTCCTCTTCCTCCTCCTCGGCCCCCAACATCCAGAGGCCATCGAATATCGCGGCCCCCTGGGCCCGCGCCGCCTTGGCGGCCGCCGACGGGCCCGACAGCTTCGGGGCCGGCGCGGGGACGCCGGCGGGGGCGGCGGCGACGCCTGATGACGTCATCGGCGGGGCGGGGGCGGCGGCAAGGGGCGGCTCGTCGTCGACGTCACCTGATGACATTGTTGGGTTGGGGCGGTGAGGGTGGGTAGGGGGGTGGATGTGGGGCTTTCCCCGGGAGAAGAGCCAGGGCGGCTGCAGATTCTTTTGTTGTGGAGGATGGGGTGCTGGGTTGTCAAGGCGGCGTGCAAGGGTCGTGTTCACAACGCGGACCCGCACGAGCCATGACAAGCGCGCCCCCCGTAGCAGGTGCGTGCGGTTGAACCGCGCGGCGGGCGGCAACTGAAGCTGCGGGTGCGCCACGGGGGCGCGTGGGTGCGAGGACGGCTGGGGTCGCCACATGCTGTGGCAAGGAGGGGCTCGCGGGGCTGGTGCCACCCCCCGCTGCACGCCTCGGCGCATTGCGTCTCGTCGCCCGGGCTCGTCCGCCGCGCGGTCCCCGCATGCGGCGCTCTGCCCGCCGCTTGTCATCACAATGGATCACCTGGGACTCGCACCCTGACGCCACCCAGAAACCCAGCATACGGGGAAAGCAAACAGCAACGAACAACGCCGCCCAACAAAGCCGCCCAACGTGCAGGATCAGTTATCGGAAAACCCACCCAAAGGCCCTTTAACACGCATGCAGCCAAAAACAACAGCCCACCACCCTCAAAGCAGGACTCCCTCTGGCCACCACTCACACAGCGCCGCCTCGTCGTCCGGGAGCGCCCACGCCCCAAACGCGCCCCTCGGCAGCCCTGGCGCCGCCACCCGCCCTGGGGGCCGCCCATCCCGCCGGTCCAGCCGCCGCAGCCACGCGCCGCCGGCCGCCTCGGCGGCGGCCGCGGCCGCGGCGGCGGAGGCCTTGGGGTCGGCGCCGTCGCCGCCGCCGGGCAGGAACGGCATCGAGACGCTGAATCCCCGCCAGCTGTCGCTGCTGGGGGCGCGCGCCTCGACGCGCTGACGCAGCGCCGCCGCGTCGAGCGCGCCCAACGGCTCTGCAACGCCGGCGCCCGCGGCTGCTGGCGCCGCCCAGCCGCGCGAGAGGTGCGCCTCCCGGCTCGCGACGAGCGCCGGCGGCGCCGGCGCGGCGGGCGCGGGCGCGGGCGCGC